ACCCAGCTATAACAACAATAGTTTGAGAATGCTGCACAACCCAGGGGTTCTACATCCAAAAGTCATGGTGTATCTTGGGGGGTATGGGCTGGACAGGGCATACTGTCTTCTAAAAATAACCGATGGTACGTTCAGTTAATCTGATTTTCTGCTGACCAGGAGAAGGGACTTCCATGTGAGGCCAGGTGAGTGGGAGTGGCCATGAGATGGATGAGGAAGCTGTGTGCACTAGCACATGCCTGTAATCTCAGAGACTCTGGAAGCTGAGGCAAGGAGGGTTGCAGGTTCCAAGGTAGCCTGAGCATCATAGTGAGACCCTGTTTCAAAATTTTAAACAAGGTCTAAAGGACTGAGGATGTGGCTCATGGTAAAATGCCCCTGGGTTCAATCTCCTGTACCTACCACCACTCCCTACCGCCCCCCCCAAAAAAAGAAACAAAAAAATAAAAGTTTGAGGAGATTTTTCGTTAGGAAAACTGTTTACTGAAAAGAAAGGCCAGAGTAGCTCCAAAGAATGTGATCTCTGGCTTCATTCGACCTGGGCTGAAGTCCTGGTAGCTTGAGGCTGACTGTTGACATGATCTTGGGAAAGTGTTCATTTGACCTCTGTGTGCCTCAGTATTGTCATCAGTAAAGTCAGGATGGCCAAGTTCCTCCTCATGGAGTGTTTGTGGAGGTTACATAACACCAAAGAAGCATTTAGCATGGCTTACTCCACATAGTAAGTACTCATGAAGTTATAGGTGTCTGTTTCCTTTTTAAAAATAAAAGCAGCAAAAGGCTATGTGACAGGCTGATCTCTTATTCAAAGGCATTATACATATGATTGGGTAACAATAAATCCCACTATTATATATACTTACAAAGCACCAATACTTTAAAAACAAAGTTAGAGGAAAGACTGAAGAGGGGAAATTCAGAGCTAGAAAGGGAATCTGGGGCACAAGTTCCATACTCAAAGAACAGTTCTGGGAACTAGGGGTGTGTGGGATTAACAGGAACACTGGTCAGAGGACTCCTCTGTGGAGAGCCAGGAGAGGCCAGCCAATATGTGAGTGCTGAGGAAAGCACTTTTACCTGTGGCAGAAAGAAGTCCCGAACAGTCCAGCAAAAACAAAAACAAAAAATCTCTGCTATTCTCCAGAAATCAGGGAATCAAAAATGAAAGCTCAACCATGGGCAGAAGTTAGAGGCTTCTGCAGAAGCCAGACACACTCTCAGAGCCAGGCTGAGGAAGTGCTTGCTGGCGAGGCACAGTGATGAGGATCACTTGAGCCCTGAGTTCAAGGTTACCCTTGGCAACTCAGCAAGGCCTGTCTTGAAGGGAAAAAGAAAAAAAAGTGCTTACTATCACAAGGGAAAGGCAAAGAAAGCACAAAAACACTCTGGGAAAAGAGATGTTTTGTGCTCTAAGTTTATGCCAAACCAATTAAAAAATGAGTCTGAAAACTGACCTCACTTCAACTTCTAGGTTTACATACGAGGAAATCAAACCCCTTCCAAGAAGTAGTTGGGATGGTTGTGTGATGGGGTATGATATGTCTGGAGTGTTGGCATAAATGTGTGAGTGTGGCCATTGCAACAGACTGGGGTGGGTGGGGGGTGAAGTGCACCCAGGGAAGAGAGTTTTCAGAGAAAAAGCCATCCCCACCATCTCTTAATGATGAACCCAAAAGTGGCAACAAAAAGAAACTGAGGTTAGTGACAGTAGGAAAATAGGAGGCAAGTAAAACCTTCCATTCAGGGAATATGTGGGGATCATGTATCTGATCCCATCAAATGTGTCTTCTACATACAACAGAAGCTGAAAGCTAAAGATGAAGTAAACACAGGAGCGTAGGGCAACTGGGTGCAGTCCAGCCCTGCAAACGGGAAGGGTGACTGCTCCAGGTACAGGAATTCACACTCAGTTTTTTTAAAAACACAGACTTTGCCAAAGGAAACACAGAGCTCAGCCTCACTGCCATGTCACCAATTTGCAAACACAGTTCTCCACAGTGTTAAAATGTAAAACAGCTTCAATGAAAGAGTTTTAGTCCAAAAAGATCTGTGAAAGGACAGTTTCACTTTAAAGTGATCCCAGCTGAATGAAAATGCAAAATCCTGAGATTTTTCCCATCTACATATTGATAAAAGGGATATATTCATATTTATATGAGATGGTGTCTATCTTCCCTATTGAAAATAAAATTAGGGAAGACATCCTTCATCTCAAGCACCAACACTGTATTAATGGTGCTTAATAAATGTTTGTGGAATGAATACATGCAGTTATAAGCAGAGCAAAACACTATCTGGAAATAAAACAATACCTCTCTTTTGAGGTTATAAAACTAAGGGGGTGGATCTCTAGCTCTAATCCTCCCCTCCTCCCTTCAGGTTTTATTTTTAACCTTGTGGACATCTTTTGTACAAAGCCAAAGACTTCAGTGGTAGGACCTCCCTCATCTTGTTGCTTGAGCAGAGATCAAAGAGCATGGGCAGCCTCCCAAGAACAGCTTATTATGGAATTTGTTTCCTAGGTGGTATCCAAGCGGACTTGGTTCTCTGGGATCTGGGCAAAGGAACTCCAGAGCTCAGGCTGATAACCCTTCTAACTGCCAGCCTCCATGATTCTTGAGCACAGAGAGGGGCACCAGCCTCACAGAGTTGTAAGGAGTAAATGATACTGTGTATGGAAAAGGCATAATCAGTGCCTGGCACATAGAAAGCACTCCAATACTATGGCTATTATTATCTATTATGGAAACAGTAGATGAATGGTTTTTTTAAAAAATGGGCCTAATTTGGGAATTGGGAAGAAAGTTAGGAATTAGGACAACAAACTGAGAGGCTAAGTATGTTAGCTTTTTGTTGCTATGACCAAAATATCTGACAATTACAACTTCAAGGAAGTAAAGTTATTTTGGCTTCTGCTTTCGAAGGTTTTAGTCCATAGTCTGCCAGCTGCATTGCTTTGGTGTTGAGGGGAAGCAGAGAATCATGGTGGAAGGAAGGATGTGACAGAGGAAAGCTGCTCTGCTGAGGGCAGCTGAAAACCAGGGGCGGGGAGGAATAGAGGGAGAGGGGAAAATGAAGGGACCTGGGACAAGATACAGTTCCCAAGAACATGTCCCCTAGGGCTTATTTCCTCCAACCATGATCCATCTCCCTACAGTTACCACCCAGTAGTCTATTCTAAGTATTAATCCATCAACTGCATTAATTCACCGGTGAGGTTAGAGACCTTGAGATCCAATCATCTCCTCAAAGACCCATCTCTGGACATCGTTGCTTTGCATTCAATACATTCAACACAATGTAGGGAATGTTCCAGATCCAAACCATAACACTGAGGAAAAAACAAAAGTACTTTGATAGCTGTCTATAAATCATCTTGGAAAAAGTGAGGGTGAATAAGTGTTTAAATAACTAAAGTTTCCTATGTTCAAGTACAGTTTTTTATATGCATGCAAATACTCAGGCTTGGAATTCCTCTGGAAAGATAGTTAACAGGTAATACTGGTCACCTCCAGAGAAGGTATTTTAACTGGCAACAGCAGCTAGGGACTTAAAATTTTTTTTGCCATATGTCCACATTACCTATTAAACTTAATCATTCATTTTAAATTTAATGCTATTCGTTTAAAATGTCTCCAAAGTTTTGCTGGATTTAGATCAACCTCCGATATTGGAAATGTCTACTTTCAGCTTTTATTGACTGTCAGAGCCTTGATATCGCCCCCTAGTGCCTGGTACCCACCACTGCCGCTGCTCCCTGCAGCCACAGAGGTTAATACTATAACTAGCTTTTCATTATCTAACTAAACTGTAACCTTCTCAGATACTCCAGTGCTTTAAGATTTAAAAATATAGGTACTGGGGCTGGGGTGGTGGCTCAGTGGTAGAGCGTTTGCCTACATGTGTGAGGCACTGGGTTCGTTTCTCAGCACTGCATATAAATAAGTAAAGGTCCATTGACAACTAAAAAAAATTTTAAAAAAATATAGGTACTGTGAATGATGACATTATCCTCATGCATCTTTCTTGATGACCCAAATCATGTGTGTGTGGGCACAATAGTAGATTTTTTTTAAATTATATCCTTTCATTTATTTCCATTTTTAAGTTGACATACTTATCAGTAGCAAAAGGATTTTTACCTCCTCAGTTGCATCTCAAGTACAAATCATATTAGCAATTAAATTTTAATCCATCATTTGCTACCATAATTTCTTTCTCTGCAAATGTTGAAGTGGAAGCTATTGCTTCACATACAGAATTCTCTCACTTGATTTTATTTGGGTAAAAGATTCTGAACCCTGTCTCAGACTTTATGTTGTTCTGTAAGTTACATTTTAAACTAGTAGCCTATGTAACTACATGTGCAAACCCTGCATACGTTGTTTTCATCCTGAATTTTGAAGTCTCCAAAGTACATTTTCACTTTCAAATATAAATGGTAAAAGTCTGTCTTTGCTGAGTATTGTAAAGATTTTCTTATTAGAAACTACAGTAGCATTAGAAACTGTAAGGCACGTTTGGATGTAAGGGTAGACCAGCATTTTAAACATACCCAGGGTTAGAACTGGACTCTTCTGTAAATGCTAAGATTTGTATTCGTTATACTAAATGTGTCATTTAAGAGACCACGCCTTAGGCTGAAGTTCTTCCAGGTCATCACCTTACACAATAACCTCAAATCTTTGGACTTGGACAAATATTTGGGCTTTGAATGGAATTCGTAAGGGCCTTGCCTGGTGGTTTTAGTGGGTTATGGTACATAATCCCAGGCAAGAGAGGGGTGGATCAAGGTCGGAGACCCCGAGTGCACAAGGGACTATGTGCAGATGAGCAAGTGGCAATCTCTTTATTTATTTTACTTTTCGATGTTTCCACATATCTGAGAGAACAATCTCGACATCTCCTCCAGCGGGCAGTTTCCCAGTGGCCAGAATAAAAGCCTGGTGGGCGTGTTCCAAGGCCGAGGCCCGCGTTGGACCGCGCCAAGGGTGGGGAAACCCACCCTGCTCCGAGTAGCTGGTATAAAGAGGCCTGCTGCTGCCGCTGAGCTGCACCAGCTTTGCAAGGGGCAAACTCGCTTCTGATCCGGCCAAGCACCGGTCTGAGCACCACGGAGATGGCACCCGTCGGAGGCAAAAAGGCCAAGAAGGTGAGTCTCCAGAAAGCCCGACGGCATTCTCCAATCCCACTCACCGGCAGGTCACCGCACCCTCAGCAGCGAAGGGGAACCCTCAGAGCCCGGCTGTGGACCCAGCGTCCTCCTCCGCGTTCGGGCCAGAAGGTGTTTCCAAAACTTCGGAGTGACCCTGTGGCATCTGAGTCCGCCCCCCATTCCTGCCTCTTGTCCAGAGTGCGTCCCCGAAAGTCCCTTTCTCCCGGCACTCACAGCCCAGAGCGCGCCCTGGACCTAAGTGATCCTTCTCTACCCAACTGAAGCATCCCGGACTCGAGGGCTCCCCCAGAGCTTCAAGACAAAACCCCTTCCGAGTCCAGCCCCGCAAGACCAGAGAACTCCCCCGACAGGCGCGATTTTCCGCTTCCAGGGCGGGGCACAGGCTGGCAGCCCGCGCGCCAGGCCAGAAGGGAGCAGAGCCTGTGCCGTGCGGCGCCGGCGGGAAACGGTCCTGCGGGTAGCGCGCTCCTCCCTACCCGGTTCCCGCTGCGCGCGCGCGCCGCACCCAAAGCTCAGGCGTTGGTGGGGCGATGGTAGGTTTCATTCGCGATTTGTCTCAACTACCGCAGGAGAATGAGCAGAGTGGCTGTAAGATGTTGAGGAAGGGCTGTTGATAAGATTGTAAACACCTAAACCCCAGCAGTTCTTGCTCCTGGTTACAAGCAGCCCAGGGGCTTGCTGGGGTGAGTGTTTTCAATCCACACAGTCTATCTTCATCTAATTCAGGGAATGGACGAATGGACGGATGGGAAGATAAGAGAAGAATGGTGGGAGGAAGGAATATACTTGAGCCCTTGGTGCCCCCAGGCCCAGTCTCAAACCTTGCACCACAGAGGCCCTCAGAAAATTGTTGGAAGGCAATGGGACCACATCCACTTACTCCGTTGGCTGTGAGGACCATGAGGGCCGGAACCCCAGAACACCACCCATCCACCCTACCCCAACACCACCCTGTTGTGCCCAGTTTCTAAGGAATGACCACCAAATCAAAAAGACTCCACACAGGGAAAAAGAATAATCAGATATTTTAAATACCATACCCTATTCATGGAAGGTGTGAGGAGTGTGTTGAAAGGACGAATGATTAGGGCTGAATGAACCCAGTTCAGGTAGGTTGAGAATTGCTGCCAATTCATAAATCCACTGGAAAGATTGAGTCCTCTGGAGATTTAATTAATATTTTTTCTTGGTGTGGCTCCATTTTCATAGTCATGGATTCTAACCCATTCCCAAAACTCAGAACATTAACATTTTAAAGAATTATCTCTAAAGAATTATCTAAGCCACAGATGGACATAATGGGGAGAAAAGTTTCCTTAGTAACCTTGTTTCCATATCAGCTTAAAACATGAACCATAATGCATCTACATATTTGAGTTTAAAGTATGTTTCAAAGATAACACATATTCATTATTAGCAACTGGTAAAAGTACAAAGTACAGTGGCTACTGCTTGCTGTCCAAATGGTCTGCGGTGGGGCTGTGAAAGGGAAGAGGGTTAAAATAAAGGAAGCTGTAAGAATATAGAAAGGAATTTGGGTGCAAAACCCTATGGATGCCTCCAGCAGATTTATGTGGCCCTTGTTATATCAGCAATTGTTTTAGCTGCTGGTATTGCTAGTAAATGGAACATAGTAGGTGAATTCCAAGTTATTCCTTTGCCCTTCACAGTTTCTTCAGGATTTTCCCAACCTCCTCCACCCTATTAAAAATCAAATCTAGATATCACTTAAGGATAAGAGTCAGGAAGAGTCCTTTAGTTTGGGACACAGTGTATAAATTTCTAAGGAACTCTTGGCTTTCATTCCCCATTTGGAAAATCAGAGCAGGCGCCCTAAAGTGACTTTAGGAATAAAAGGATACCTTTTATTCTTAAAGTCTATGGTTCTTTGAAGTTAAAAAAATACAATTATAATAGTAAATTATTGTCTCATCTATAAAACCCTTTTAAAATATTCCATTCAAAATTTATCTCTTAAACATTAACACTGGGTGATTCTTGCCTAGGATTGTAGATGGAGTAGGTATGGCAAACAGGCTGGAAATACTTGTATTTGTCTCTTCCCTGTTCCTGGCATGGAGTACAGAATGTGCATATTCCCAACTTTCTGGATGCATAACATAGCTGCTGTTGTGGAAAATGAATTTTAATAGCAAAGAGAAGGATCTTTTAAATTACTTGATCACATTTGTGCTAGAATCTTCTTCCTTCTGCCTTTACTAAATGACTTGTAACTTTTCAGTCTTCTAAATGCCCTAATAGTATTATATGCCACTTTGACCTCTTTAATGATTTTAATGCTTGTTTTAGTTCATGGATAGTGTAAGAAGATTAACAATCACCATTTTAAGAATGTGCGCTAAATGGGTGGAGCTGTAGCTTAATAAAAGGCATTTGCCTAGCATTCATGAAGTCCTGGGTTCAATCTCTAGCACTGAGAGGGAGAAAAAACACAACAACAACAACAACAAAATGTGTGCTTAAGTATAGTGAGCACAGTTTATAACAATTTATTCTAATTTTATAAAGATCCAGAAGAGAGAAGTTCAAAGGTTCCCATCACAAAGAAATGGTAGATATTGAAATATCAGTCATCCTGATTTGATCATTATGCATTATACACATGATTGAATTATCACACTGTGCCCCAGAAATATGTACAATTTTTTAAATTGTACATATTTTTTAATTTTAATTTTGAATGAACAAAGAATATGTACTACAGTATAGATTTGAGGCTTTACAACAAAATCATTTAGTTTAATCCCTTAGCAGATGGTTCTTTAAACATAATATCCTCTCACTGTGATACTCTTCAAATACATTTTTTTTCTGTCATGCTGGGGATTGAACCCAAGGCTTCAAGCAACTGTTCTAACTGAACTCCACCCCCAGCCCAAATACTCTTTAATGTGTTCTGAAAGATACCCACACATGCCCGTCACATACACAAGAATACACAAATTTCCATTATATGAGTGTTCTGCCATAAATTGATGTATAAAATATGCATATTTTAAGAGAAATCATACTTCTCAAGAATAGTTTTTAAAATGGAAAATTGTCTTAAAAACTCAAGTAACTCTCTTCCCCTTGTCTGGAATTTTAGGGCATCCTAGAACGTTTAAACGCTGGAGAGGTTGTGATTGGAGATGGAGGGTTTGTCTTTGCTCTGGAGAAGAGAGGCTACGTGAAGGCAGGACCCTGGACCCCAGAAGCTGCTGTGGAGCACCCTGAGGCAGGTTAGTACAGAATCTATTCTAAGTTCTCATGATGAGCACTATGTTGATCTAAGCTCAAGAGTAAACTATCAAAGAGCGGCATATGTCATGGCCAGCTATGTGTCATGGCCTCCTAGGTACTACTAGCTGTGTTATAGATTCACATGTTGGATAGCAAAACAGCCCTTCATGATGCATCAGCTGTCCACTTCCTTGGCCCTGCCAGGAAGTGATGAGTCTAGAACCTAGATGAGCCTAGAACCTTCCTCTCTGTCCCTCTTCCCTCACCAGTTTGGATGACTTCAGTTTCCATACAGATGATCTTTTCAGCACTTTGCTGTAGTGCCTGAATCTCCTCCTATCTCCTGTGAATATTTTCTTCACCACCACCGAAGAGACCCACTCCTAGACTTTGTCATCACCAAGAGCTGCCCACCATTTCCCACCTTCTGCTCACTCTCTCTGGTTCTCCCACTCCTCTGCCTCATCAAGGTCAGCCCTTTGTCCACATCAGTTTAGTGTACAATCCATTCTCCCCATATGTCCACCCCTTTCTTATCACCCACTTTACTGTCTGAGGTTCCACATCATAATCACTGTCCTGCCTCCATTGTTTATTTGCCAACAGGTTCAATTTGTGTCGTACTAACCCAACCCTATTTAAATGCAAATATCCACCTCTTCTACACCTACACCCATGTGCCTTAGACTCATTTCACATTTTTGACCAAAAATCTCTGATGGCCAGGAGAGAGGAGGTAGGAGGGAACCTGGGGTAATAAATGCTGTCTTCCAAGACAGAAGCCTTTGAATGGTCCCTCAAGCAAGAGGTAAGTGTTCTTCTTTAAAAGAAAGGAATGGGCCACTTCTGCAGGCTCAGAGTGTTTAGGAAGGATCTGGGTTTTTAAGGTTCTTGGGTGAGTCCACCTATATGTCTTCACCCCCAGCCTCGAGGTCCCATATATTCCTAATCAAGGCACTGACTTTAGTATTACAGGCTTTCTGGTTGACAGTTCAACTTCTCTGGACTTCTCCTCCTATATACCTTAGTCTAGAGCTAGATCTTCAGCTCTTTCTGCTCTCTAGTTTCACAAAATGGGTCTCCTTATGTGCCACCCAGGAGGCTCTCAGACTTTCATACTGATACTTAGGTTGGGGATAATTTACTCTTAGGCTTTGATTATTTTCCTCCAGTGCACCAATGGTACCCAATAGTAGCCATTTGATTCCATAGTCCTTATAATTACTACTTCCTCCAAACCACTCATACATCTGAATACATGCATACTTTCTCATAAATCTGCTAGTGCTCACCTTCCTAGAAGCAGCCCAACCCAGTTCACCACAGTTTAATATTTTTAATAGTAGCATCCCTAGAGCATGCAAGGAGTTGTCAAAAAGCCTCCTACCTCCAGTGATGGGGGATGCTCATTCGTATCAGAGTTATTACTGGCCTCAGGGAGCTCCAACTCCAAATGACAGTTTCTAGTTGTTTCCTAGGACTTGTTCTAAATCCAACTCTTGCAGGTCAGGCCATCCAGAAACAAATTCTGTTTGTTTGGAGATTCATGTGCAGGAATTTTATTGGGGAGTGCTTTTAGGAAACAATATCTATAAAGGAGTGAGAGAAACAGTGTTGGACAGGGGGAGGAATTATACTGGGATACAGTTATATCAGAGGCCTCAGCCAGCCTTCTGGAACTCTAGTGGTAGACAGGTCCTTTTGAGTTGTCCCATATTGAGGTAAGATGGTTGGTGTCCTTCGCTTACCAACAGAAGTCACACCTGCAAGCTGTCAGTTCTCCCCACATGAGTGGACTGAACCCTGGGCAAGGGAGCCCCCTCTAACTTTGGTTACATTTGGAGAATATTCTACCTGGGCACTTTCAGCAGCCAGTGCTGTGGGCCACCACAGAAAAGAGGCACATGGGCTGAAGATCTGAGAGCCTACAGCATCATCCACCTGGCCTCTGTTCTGTCCTCTCGAGCATGTTCACATCATCCCACTTAGACCTTCGTTCTGTTCCTTCTCCCAACTCTTCCTCTGTGTTTATAGAACCCATGACTCAACATTAGCATTACTTCAGAAAGGCCTTCCCTGTGTGCTTAACCTAAATTAGCCCCATGGTCATCCTTGATTATCTTTATTACCTCTGTATTATTCTGTCTCACTTTCTTGATGGCACTGAATTATCTGTTTATTATTAGTCTTTATTTGTCCACCTGTATTGGAATGAAAACTCACTGTTCGCTGACGTATCCCTTAGAACAATCAAGGTCTGGCACATTCGATTGAGTGAACGATGGATTCCAGTTACAGAGCTAGACTGAGCAAGGGGAGAGAGATGGGACTTCTCTGACCAGTTTGGATAGTATCCTGGAAGGAAGGATTTTAGAAGATCTTCCTGGTCTGGAAAAGAGGGAGGTGAGAGAGGCTGATGGCTTTGTTTCAGAGGATAGCCTTGGACAGATATGGAAGAAAGGGATTTAAGCAGATTTCTGTATCTGCCTGAGGTAAGAAGGCAGGACGAAAGTGTGGACTTGAGTATGCTCAGATTACTTGTACGAAGTTGAGTCTTTGAGATGAAAGTAAAGAAAGTTTCAGTGACTTATAAAAGAGGAACAGTTCTTTTTTATGATCATTAAAAATATATATATTTTGTCAAACTCAGTGATAAATGATGGAAACTAACAATGCACATGAACAGTTAACAACTACCTCACAAAGTTGTTAGGAAGGTTAATTAAGTTATATGGGAAGTATTTAAAATAACGCCTGGCAATCATAACAACATATGTATTCCTACTGTTATTAAGTTGACTGAGTTGTATCTTCTCTCGATAGTATTCTTGCATTTATTAACCTGTTTCTGCTAGAAAAGTACAAAACTTATTTCTTCCAAAGAAGAATAGAAAGTACAAACCACACAGTCCCTAAACAGTACCCAAAGTGAAAGATCTATATTCACAAGGTACAACCCAGCAAATGTACACAACTTTCATATTTCCAAAAAGAAGTAGAAATAATACTGTGTTCTATCCTTGTAAGAAAGAAATGTAGAACTGAGAATCTCACATTGTCATTTCACCAGTGAAGTTTGTTAAAAATTACAGATTCCTGGGCCCCACTTATGAAAATTCAGCTTCATTAGGTCTGTGAAGTAGTCCAGGAACCTGCATTTACAATCATCACCCCAAGGTGATTGTGAAATGACTGCACCTGAAGAAGCTTTGCACTAAAGGGCTTTTAGGAGCACAGTGTAATGGTGGCTAAGAACCTTGAATGAAGATTTCACACATCCCCATGATTTGCTTTCTATGGTCTGCTTGCCAGGTGATGTTCCGGATAAAACATTTCTTGGGCAAAACCACTATGATGAACTTATTCTTGCCTGGACCATGCCATGTAGACCAAATAAAACTATTATTATAAACCACAAGTTCTAATTTTATGTCACATTTTTTAAAAAACATTTCAGGGGCTGGGGGTGTGGCTCAGCAGTAGAGTGCTCCACTAGCACATGTAAGGACCTGGGTTCGATCCTCAGCACCACATAAAAATAAATAAAATAAAGATATTGTGTCCAACTAAAATAAAAAATAAAAAAACATTTCATACTCCGGGAGCTCAAAAGAAATTATTCTGGCATTTTCTTTGATACTATTAGTATAGAAATAGCACATTTTATCTCCTGGCTAGCCGACTCCTTGTTATTTTGAGCTTGTCTGGGTGTGTCAAGCATTTGCTTTATGTTTTCTTCTGGGAAGTTACATGATTTTCGAGAATTAATGGAAAATCCATGATACCAAGTCTTTCAATTTAATCCCTTCTGCCACAGACCAAATCCCATATGGTATTTGATTCTGCCAGCATTCAGCTCAAATTCTGTCAAGCACAGTGGACCACAGGATGCATCAGAAAAGACAGGTCTCCTGTAACGCACCTTCATAGGACCATCCCCACAGGACAGTGATTGTATTTTGCCTTTGGGGGCTAGGTGAAAGGTGTGTAAAACAGTCATACTGTGAAGAAGAGGAGTAATCTGTTTTCATGCTGTTTTCTGCAAATGAAGCTGTTTATCTGTAAGTGCAAAGATAATTTAGACTGAGTGGTAGCTAGAATTGACATAGATTCCCCAAAATTTCCTTGCAAGTTGGACTTCTTCTGAAACATTTTACATGTCTGGTGCCTGGAGCTAAGTTTTTAGGTGGTAAGAAAGGTAAGGATATGCTGCAGGTCCTCAAATCCCTTATCCAAACCATGTTGGGACCAAATGTGTGATGGAATAGAGAAATTTGGGGATTTTAGAAAGTTAATACAGTGAGTATGTGTATATTATATAACACTCCCATTGGGCTCTACACCACATTAATACTTTTTTACATTGACATCTATGTCTACCCACACTAACTGGGAATCATAAGCAACAGATGTATTATTACTGTTATTAGGTGGACTGAGTTCAACCTTCGTGTTCATTCGGGTCACATGTTGCTCCCAAATGATTTTGTTGCAGACATATTATTCTAATGAAGAAATGTAGAATTTTACTTGACCATTTAGGATTTGCTTTGTAATTTCAAATACTTGCATTTCTCATGCTAAATTGACAAGGTTAATTTCTAACTCTGTATGTATATAACCATGTAACACTGTTCATTTAGCTTCCATAATGTGTATAAAATAACACTACCATAATGAGGCATTGAAGACCATAAAATAAAAGTAATTAGTATAAGTGATATTGTATCATGGGGACCAGACACATCCTATTATTGTCTAGAGGATGGATCTAGGAACCTTATGATAAAGGAAAACAAGAAATGGAAGTTGAAAGGATATCCAGAAACTGTCAGCTTATTTCTCCTGCTTAAATTTATGCTCAAAACTCTTGATTCTTGCACCCAGTGGAAGCAGCATTGAGTTTGGCAATGAATTCAAGTTGGCTGGGTCTGGAGCAATTAGGGGAACTTGCAGTTATAATTGGCCCCAGGTGAATCTCAGGGGGAGTCAAACTTAGAGAAGCACCCATCCATCTAGCCAAAGCAGGTTTGCAGGAGTTGCTAGGAGACCCCAGATCTACCTCTTTACTAATCCCCAAGATGTGCAAATACCAAGCAACTAGAAATCTAAGTAGTTGTAGTTGTTTTCACGTTTATTTAGAGCCTTTTGAAAACAGAAATTATACCTTTCCTTGTGCAATCTCCCAGTTCGCCAGCTTCATCGAGAGTTTCTTAGAGCTGGATCGAATGTTATGCAGACCTTCACCTTCTATGCCAGTGAAGACAAGCTGGAGAACAGGGGAAACTATGTCTTGGAGAAAATATCCGTGAGTACAACCAGCCTGAGATGCTATAAAAGGCATCACAGATACACCACATCACTCAGAAAAATAAGAGCCTCGTCAGAGTTTTGTTTTATTTCTACTACTACAAAAACACCTGTGAATAACACTCTCGGGCTTTAGCTGGAATCTCTGAAATTAACAGAAAGACATCTAGTGAGGAGTTATTTAATAATCATTGTTCCAGTCTCATGTTAAATTGCTGAGTAAAGAGGGCATCCTTACAAATTCGTACATCCTTACCGTCTTACAGAGTATAGGAAAGACAATAAACCCAAGGAGTCAGTAAATCTGGAATAGGGCCTGACTCAGTTACAAGCAGCTTTGTGTTATTGGGCAACCCTTTACCCATCAAAGCTGTTCATCTCCAATACGAACAGAGAGTTCTAAAATTCCTTGAGTTTATATGATCTACAGTTCTGTGGTTTGGTGGTTTTATTGTTTGTGTTTTAGGATAGGGGTGGGGGTCCTGTTGTTTTTTGTTTGGGGGGGGGTGATGAGTTGGAATTCAGGGCCTCCCATGGACTAGCCAAGTACTTAAGTCCCAGCTGTCTCAGTAGTGTGCCTATAGTTCCAACTACTATGGAGGTTGGAGCAGGAGGATCCCTTGAGCCCAGGACTTTAAGGCCAGTCCCCATTTTAAAAAACAGAAACAAACCCACCCACCCAGCACAGTGGCACACACCTGTAATCCCAGTGACTCTAGAGGCTGAGGAATGAGAATCTCAAGTCGAAAGTCAGCCTTGGAAATTTAGCAAAACCCTGTCTCAAAATAAAAAAAAAAAGAAAAGGCTTGTTGTTGCAGTTCTGTGGAAAAGTATCCCTAGGTTCAATCCCTAGTACAAAAAAAAAAAAAAAAGTTCAGGGCCAAGTTTTACTGTTTACATAATTTGAAAAGATCTTTTATTTATTTAAATTAATGATTTATACATTTATCAATCATTTAAGAAAATACATAACAAAAAGTCCTGAATTTGTTGTGATTTTAATTGAAGTTTAATCTTATTAATCATAAATTAGCCAATCCTTATTACCACCACCACCTTTATTTGCACTCATCTCAATGCAGCTTAGACACTGGAAGATAACAGATCAGATCCCTGCGTGTAAAAACTCTGACCCTCTCACAGATCTTTGGCCTAAGGCTATATCTCAGATACCATTATTACTATTAGGTTTATTGTTGTCATCGTTATTATTAGTGTTGTTTTGGAAATTACTCAACTTGGTAAAGCATTGCCCCACTCCATAGCCGTCCTTATCTGGGATGAAATCTTTATCATAAACATAAAACCAAGATGTGCAGTCTGAATATTTTTTTTTCTTTTTCACATGAAACTTAGGTGTATCCTATTTTCTCCCATTTTAGGGGCAGAAAGTCAATGAAGCAGCTTGTGACATCGCCCAGCAAGTGGCTAATGAGGGAGACGCTTTGGTTGCAGGAGGTGTGAGTCAGACACCTTCATACCTCAGCTGCAAGAGTGAAACTGAAGTTAAAAAAATCTTTCACCAGCAGTTAGAAGTCTTTATGAAGAAGAATGTGGACTTCCTTATTGCAGAGGTAAACACAGCTGTGATCAAAGATAAGACAAGGATACTTGATGCATTTTTCTCTACCTTTTGCTCTCGTGTGGGGTTAGGTGCCAATCATGACAAGTTAAGAGTAATATTTCATTTTTGAAATCTTTTTCCAGCTTAAGGAATATCGCTAAATTTGATTCAGCTGATGCAAATGGTGTTTTTCAAACTTTCTGACTGCAATTCACACTGAGAAATCGCCATACCATTCTATTCTGTGTTAAAAATGCTTGATGACATAATTATCACTTGATGTTTTATAGAATGAATGTTCTCATTGTTTTGTGGGAAAACATGATTAAAAGTATGCTAACCTTAACTTGTTTCAGTATTTCGAACATGTTGAAGAAGCTGTGTGGGCAGTGGAAGCCTTAAAGACATCTGGAAAACCAGTGGCAGCCACCATGTGCATTGGCCCCGAAGGAGATCTGCATGGCGTGCCCCCTGGCGAGTGTGCAGTGCGCCTGGTGAAAGCAGGTGAGGATAGATTTCCTTTGGTCTGCAATTACGCAGTCTTCTCAAATAACACACAACCAGGTGCAGTGGTACCGGCTAACCCCAGCAACTCAGGAGGCTGAAGCAGGAGGATTTGCAAGTTAAAAATAAAATTAAAAAAATAAATGCAGGGGTGGGGGACTAGCTCAGTGGTAAGGCACCCCAGTTTCAATTCCCAGTACCAAACAAAATGGAAACAAAAAAATATATTAAATAACATACAAAATACACAGACTCCTTTGGTTAACAGGAAAACCAGTAATTTACTTTTTTTTTTATGATTCTGCTAATAATTAATAATATCACTATTGAGTTCCAAATGAAAAAAAGTTTACACACACACACACACACACACACACACACACACAGGTACACCAGCTTTTTGAAAGGAGCAACTGGATCTATGCTGGTGATTTAATACCTAGAAGTGAGAAGAATGTTTTGGCAAGTCAAAACATTAGCCAGGTGCAGTGGTGCACACCTATAATCCCAACAACTCAGGAGGTTGAGACAGGAGGATTGCAAGTTTGAGGCCAGCCTCAGCAACTTAGCAAGGCGCTGCCTCCAAATAAGAAATTATAAAGGGCTACTGATATAGCTCGGTATTGTAAAGCACCTCTGGGTTCCATCCCCGTACCAAAAAAGGAAAAGAAAAGAAACAGAATACGTTGCCTCAAGTAGAGGTCTTTAAATATTAATAACTTCAAAGTTTGTTGCCCTCTTTGCCAAAGTTTTTCCATTCTCATAAATTGCTAGTGTACTTTGCTTTTTGTAATTGGTATAATAAATCAAAAAAATATTTGATATGAAACACTGACCACCTAATCTATCTTTTTTATACAATACAGTTTGTATTCCCAACATTGCATTTCATTTCAATTAGGATAAACTCACTGTTTTCAAAACTGCCTCATTTGAAATGTAAGGAATAACTGTCAGGGGAAGAGTCCTGCTCACTCTGTGAAACAGAGAAATTTTGACTGGTGATTTATTTCCTTTCTGACTCTTATCCAACTCCTGATTTTTCATAAAACTTTTTCATACTTGTCTTCAACAATAACAAATATTTAAATTTATTAGTGAAATCACAAAATCCCAATTTCTTTATGCGACATATAAAAACAGAGTTGGGGGAAGCAAGTGAACTATTTTCAAAAGATCAGAGGAGACCTTTGTCATTGCTTCTATTCATTGGCAGAGGTACCTGGCCTACATCTGATCCTTCCTCTTTTAGCTCAGAGTCGGAGGCTGCTGTTGTTGTCATCGCTGTACACTGTGCATGTCCTCCACAACCCCGCCCCTTTCTCCTATTTATCTATTTAATGTCTCACTATATTATAAGATCCATAAAGGCAGAGACTGTGTCTGCTTGGCTCAGCACAGAAGACTCTGCCTTGCACAGTGAACAGCACATCATAGGTAGTTAATAAACATCTACCTAATACATCTAGTGCATTTTCCAATGTTCCGATGTTTAGTTCAAATTCTTCTTCTCCTTCTCCTTCTCTTCCTTTCCTTCTTCTTTTCCTTTTTCTTCTCCTTTTTAATGGTCCTGGGGACCAGAACCAGGCCCTTACACATGCTGGTCAAACACTCTATCACTGAGCTACTTTGTGTATTCTGCTTCCATGATCATTCCTGCCCCCAGTGATCACTCCCTACTCTCAACCCTTTCATTTATTCCTCTCATTTGGAATATCCTCAGTTGACGTTTTCCCATCTGTAAAAATGTTAATAGAACTCTGTGATCAAATATATAATGTTATGCTAAACTAAATTAGGCATATTTCTTTACTACAGAATTGATTAAAACCTTTGATATATTCATATGTATTGTCAGTCTTCAAGAAGTAGATGTAGTAAATAGTCACTGCCTAATTTAATTAATCATAAAACCTTATTTTTATGGACCAAACTTTAGAAAGTGCTGAAATTAATTATAAAATTCTTGGGGTTAGGGACTGTGTCCTGTATTTATTTTTCTCCCCAACCTCTTGCAAAGAACCCTATACCTAACGGCATCCAATAAATAGCTGGATATCCATTGTTATATATTGGCTATCTATTATTATAAATCATACATATAGATATTTATTATCTATAAATAATAATGGTATCCAATAAATAACCAACATATGATTAATTAGTTAGCATAATAAAGTTAAGCAAGGAAAGGGAAACACTGGCAGCACAACATCCAAAAAATAAATTAATTAAAATGTAGTCAAGAGCCAAGTGAAGGTGTTAGGGAAGCTGGTGAGTATTCAAGTGCAGTGCTCACTGAAAAGGTCAGGATTAGAGAAAGAAACTAGGAAGAGATCCAGATACAAATTGCACTGAAACCCTGGACCAAAAAAGAGAAAGTGTAAATAGAGAAGATGACTCAGTGGGATCCTGGGCACCCCAGAATTGAAAAGGATTCAGCATGTAACACCCAAAAAAGCAGCAAAGGAGGTGAGAGCAACACTTAGAGTGTGGGGGTCTGGGCTAAGAAAGGAGGAGGGTCAGTAGAGGTCGTTTGCTACTGAGATATACACTGCTGGATTTGGCACAATTGAGGCCATTGGCAACCTGTCAGTGACAGGAGTAAGGTCTAAGTGGACCAGGAATGAAGAACAAACAGCAGACTCAGCTCAGTCAGGACCACTGAGACACCCACCTCTGAACACTGGATGCCAAAGGTTGTGGCATCAGTGGTATTGCTCCTAGCATCTGAATGTGGTGTCACTATCCAAAAAGAATCTCTCCTGCCCTTATTCTTGGTATCTCTATGATAAGGTACAAAATCTTAGGACATGAGCCCATCCAAAAGAAGGTCCTTTTTGAAATGGATACAGCCCAAGAGTCCTTCAACAAATGAAATAATAAACAAAATGTGATATATACGTGCAATGGTATATTACTTGGCCATAAAATGGGATGTGGCTTTGATAGATGTTACAACAGGATGAATCCTGGAAACAGACTAAATGAACTAAGCCATTTACAAAAGGGCAAATATATAATTTCAAGTATACAAAATATCTAGAATGGGCAATATAGGAGACGTAATTAGTGGTTATGAGGGACATGTAAGAGGAGGGGAAAATTGGGAATTGTTTAATGGTCATGGGGTTTCTCTTTGGGGTGATGAAAAATTTTGTAAATAGTGTTGAAGATTGCACAATATTGAGAATATAACTAATGCCACTAAATTGTTCACTCAAAAGATGACTAAGATGGACAATTTTATGATTGTCTATTTTACCAAAAATTTTAAAACTCCAAAAGAAAAAGTTCTAGCTAGGAATTCCTCCCATTTTGATAGGACAGAGTAATGTCATGTTGCCTCTTCAAGTCTGCTAGTGGAGGAAATTGCCAGAATCATGTCTAACAAGTGCCATGATAAAACATCTTTGGTCCAGATCCAATTAAGTATATAATGACTATAAGGAAAGTTGTGGGGGGGAAAAAAGGAGTATCTAAAACATTTTGCTCTCACTAAATCAAACTTCACAGCAACAATTTTAGAAGAAAGCTTTAGGCAGACAGCCCCATATTGTTGTGAGTCTAGGAAGGCTAACATGTAAATGAAAAGCTTGTCAAAATGATTGATAGGCTGTTAACTGTATTGATTAGCTCGAGTCAAAAGATTTTTAAGATTTTTTTTCCAAACCACTAATCCTAGACAGAAAATTTCTTCTAGAAAACAGATTTCTGAAAAAACTTTTTTCCTAAATTACTTTCTGTTTCTGTGCCACAAAGCCTAGTGAAATTATTAAACAGGCCTGGTGATAGGGAACATTCATTTATGCCTCAAATGAGCAGCACTATGGTAAACACAGGTGCAATCTAGCAGCTGGGAGTGTTGAAAAATTATTGTGCTTGCAACATAACGTCAAACATTGAAAAATTGACTACTAAAATTTGAAGTAGAAAAAAAACCTCTAATAATGATTTTTTTGGAAAAAAAGATGGACAGCCCAGTGCGCATAAGTGACACTTCAATTATACCAGACTCTTCAAAGCACTTTTCGCAGAAAGCACTTCCTGCCTGCTAGTAATCATTCTTGCTCACAGGTGAGATAGGTTTGTGGGGAGTGAGGACCAAATGCTACATTTCCAATCCATCATTCCAAATACAACCTTCCTGAAGAGGAGAGAATCGGGCCTACTGGTATCGGCACAGTCTAAAGTTAAGATGTTCTCCCCACTTGCAGGAGCCTCCATCGTCGGTGTGAACTGCCACTTTGACCCCACAATTAGTTTACAGACGGTGAAGCTCATGAAAGAGGGCTTGGAGGCCGCAGGGTTGAAAGCTTACCTGATGAGCCAGCCCTTGGCCTACCACACTCCCGACTGCGGCAAACAGGGATTTATTGATCTCCCAGAATTCCCGTTTGGTAAGACAGACATTTTTCTAAATTATCTCAATAGCTTTGCTTGATAAATTTCACATAAATCTATGGCCAGAGAGCTTCTATCATAGTAAAGAAATGGCTGCATAGCTCCTCTTCTCTTGCCCCAAGTTTCTATCCACTGCCAAAGCTCCCTTCATGTTAGATGGCAGAAGAAGGGAAAATGAAACCAGCTATCAAAACCAAAGCAAAACTCTGAACGTTTTTTTTTAAACTTACAATTTACTTATTGAAAATTATACACATCTGAAGACTATTTATCTTGATTTTTTTTAATAAAAAGAATTCAGACATAATGCCATTTATTACAGGATTGGAGCCCAGAGTTGCAACCAGATGGGATATTCAAAAATATGCCAGAGAGGCCTACAACCTTGGGGTCAGGTACATCGGTGGGTGCTGTGGATTTGAGCCCTACCACATCAGGGCAATTGCAGAGGAGCTGGCCCCAGAAAGGGGATTTTTGCCACCAGCATCTGAAAAACATGGCAGCTGGGGGAGTGGTTTGGACATGCACACCAAACCCTGGATTAGAGCAAGGTAAGAAAACCTCCCAGTTTGCTAATACATCTAGATTATGATTATGTCCACGTGAGGTCACTAAAAGAATGCAACTAATTTGCATGTGAGGATGAAGAATTAGTCATCTTCCTTACATTTTCTCAGAGAGATGTTTATAGAACATCCTTATGGAGTGATTTCTAGAGAAAGCCTTAAGAATATAAAATGTGAAGAATCCAAGTGGCAATGAAATGTGATTTTGTGCTCCAGTAAAATACCATCCATGTGGTGGACACTAACATTGAATCACGTTGATTTTTTTAAGAGTTAAATATAACCGAAATGTAACAATACTAATTAAGTCTATTGGTGTCAAGAAACTGGGAATGCAATGGTGACTAAAATAGGCAAGGTCTTTGCCCTCAGAGTTTACATTCCAGTGTGTTTGGGGGGGGGGGATAAATAAACAAGGAAATAAATTTCATATCAAACTTTGCACCAGACATAATGGTACATCCCTGTAATCCCAGTGGCTGGGAAGACTAAGGCTGGAGGATCACAAGTTCAAAGCCAAACTCAGTAACTTAGTGAGGCCCTAAGCAACTCAGCGAGACCCTGTCTCTAAATAAAATTTTAAAAAGGGCTGGGGATGTGGTTCAGTGGTTAAGCACCCCTGGGTTCATTCCCTGGTACTAAAACAACAACAAAAACAACAACAACAACAAAAGAAAACATCACACTTTGCTCTAGGCCCTAGGAATACTGTAAAAACAGAAATATGTAACCTCTGGTCTATAGACTTGTTTGCTGGTGAAAATGAATAAGAAAGCCAATGTGGTAATTGCTTCAGTAGAGGCATGGATTAAAAAAAAAAAAGTTACAAGAGAAAAAAATCACTATCTCTGCCTAATAGATATTTTTAGAAGGGGTATTTTGGGCTTTTTTGAAGGCTAAGTAAGATTCTAGGTAGAAAAGGAAAGGAGCAAGAGGATGGCACTCCAAGCAGAGGAACCAGGTCTGCTCCATTCAGCAGACATTAATTGGACACAGTAATCTGTCAGGCACCATTGTGGATGCTCAACTAGCCCAAGGTACATCCCTGACCCCAGTGAGTGAGCAACCTAGTGGGCAGACATTCAAATGGTATAGGAATTTCAACAATGGGGACTTGCACAGTAATACCGGGGCTGAGTGATGGCCTTCAGGAGCGAAAGACTGAAGGGAATTAATGAAGGATGTCTATGAAAGTTGATGCCTGAGCTGAATTGTCATGGCCAGACAAAGGAACAGCCTGCAGGAAGGTACTGAGAGGTGGAAAGAAGATGGTGCCTGGAGAAACTAGAATTCTAACAACAGTAGAGACAGATTTGACAGAAGACATGGCTCCAGGAGGATCAGGAGGAAGAGGTGTTTTATTATTCATGACTATAACGACACATGACCTCATCCCAGAGATAATGAGGAGCCTGTAGGGTCTCACACAGCCCAGGGTAAGGGTAGATGAGCAAGTTGTCGAACTCTAATCATTTGCGCAGAAGGCTTCTAGAAGTGCTACCAGACATTGTGAGGTTTGAAATAGAAGGAGAAAATGGGAATTGAAAGAAGAACTGAAATGAATCTACAGGGTAGAGGGCAAAGCTATCGTGGATTTGGAGATGAGCAAAACCTGTGGACACAGCCAATGTCACAATGTGGGGACAGAGAGTTTGCATCAATTGGAAGGAAAATATCCACTCTTAAGGTTTTGATCCCTATGTGTTGTAGACCTACATATTCTTTGGAGGGTTAAAGGTCTTAGTCTGAATTATTAAATGGCTTTAATGGACATACTCCCAGAGTCAAAGATGGCTTCAGGCTCTGGTGACCTAGAGCCCCATGCTGGGGGAGGAGTCTGATATGTGTTTTTTTCTCACAGGGCCAGGAAGGAATACTGGCAGAATCTTCGGATCGCCTCCGGCAGGCCCTACAACCCCTCCATGTCAAAACCGGATGCCTGGGGTGTGACCAAAGGAACCGCTGAGTTGATGCAGCAGAAGGAAGCCACCACTGAGCAGCAGCTGAGAGAGCTCTTTGAAAAACAAAAATTCAAATCGACACAGTAGTCACAATGCAATTATTTTTGGCGAATTCCTCTATGTTTGGGCCCCAGTGCATACAAATAAAGAAAAGATGGTTAGAAGGCAATGCTTATGTTAACGCCAGCCTACACGTATAATTGGTATCAGCTAAACGAAGTAGAATTACAAATAGCACTTGACAGTTTTAAAAGTATGTTTTAGAAGTTTAGTTAGAAGCAAAAAAAAAATTTTTTTTTTAAAAAGAAAGAAAAAAGAAATTTCAAACAGGTTTCCTAAGCACCCACTGTGTTTAAGGTATTATGAAAATCTTTGCATCGAAGAAAGGTAATTCAGTTAGGCTTGGTTTGCCCACACCTGTGATCCTGACTCAGGAGGCTGAGGCAGGAGGATGCGAGTTTGAGGCCAACCTTAACAACTTCATGAGACCCTATCTCAAAATAAAAAAACAAGAAGTCCTGGGGATGTAACTCAATGGTAGAGTGCCCCTGGAATTCAAAACCCAGCACCATGGGGGAAAAAAAAAACAGGAAAAGTAATTCGAACTTTAATTAAGAAATGATAGGCTTCCAAGGAGGATGAAATATGAACTGTCATATATGACACAGCAATCAGCCAGGGACAGATACAGTGCTATGAAAAATGACTTCCAACCTCTCTGAACGTGGCACCCCATAAGAAACACCATTTATTTAATGATCTAATAAAACAGGTAACATAAACCAGAGAGTAAAATGTGTTTGATCCACTCTGATACTTTATATTCTTTTCCTTTCCATCCTACTTAATAAAACATGCTGGTTGTGACCATTCAAATTGATTTTTATGACCCACTAATGGGTTTTGACCCAGTTTGAAAAACATTGCTATGGACTCTTTGATCATGGGAGACCATCCAAAGTAAGTTTATTCTTATAAGTCAATCCTATTGAGCTGATTATTAAGTATCTAAAGCCCACAGTCCTTCCCTGAGAGTTATAGGGTTTTCTCTATTTCCCAGATCATGTCTACCATTAAGACAGATGGGAAGAGGGAGAGGGGTTGGCACATAAGCTATCTCTGTCTCACTTAAAACTGCCTACCCAAATGCCTCCGGTCAGGTTGAGGAGCAGTGAACTTTTGTTACTTTGATAGCTTAAAAAAAAAGTATAATTAATTAATTATTTTTTTTAAGTACAATAAGAAAACAGATCTTCCAAATGCTAGCCAGGATTCCTAGGTTGAGAACTGTGATGTAACAAGTCTGAAGACACAGGACAATTCACATAAAAATCACTACCCTTACCCTATGAGGAAAGAGTTCATGCTGCTTTGTAGACATTCTTGGATTGATTGAACTGTTCTGTAATTGTAAATTTGGGGCCATTAAAAAAAGAAGACTCTCTTGGTTGTATTTGGTTCTTATTTTACAATTTGCTAAATCCTATATAAAATCTCTATACCTCCATTTCTCCATCTATTAAAAATATTAACAACACTATCTATTGGAATTTTAAAGGAGTCGGTAGTATTTAAAGAGAGAGGGAATTTCCAGAACTTTCTTACTAAGAGAATTAATAATCTACTTTTGTCTGTGCACAGAAGGAGGCAAAGCAAGTCTTCGGCCAGTGGTAGCCTAGGACTGAGATGAAATAGGAGTGAACTCCTCCCACCTTTTTTTTGTGTGTGTGTGAAGTTGCCATCTTCTGTTTCTCTTATATTCTCAATCTAAGTTCAATAATTAATAACTATCCTTCATAGATGATGGAAACTTCATTGGACTTACTATTCTATTACTGTGTAAGATGCACGTTCCTTTAATATTCTTTTCAGAACTTATTACCACAAAAAAATGTAACCTTTAATCATTCTTTTTTTTTTATTGGTTGTTCACAACATTACAAAGCTCTTGACATATCATATTTCATACATTAGATTGAAGTGGGTTATGAACTCCCAATTTTACCCCAAATGCAGATTGCAGAATCACGTTGGTTATACATCCACAATTTTACATAATGCCCAATTAGTAATTGTTGTATTCTGCTAACTTTCCTATCCCCTACTATCCCCCCTCCCCTCCCCTCACCTTTAATCATTCTTATATCCTTTGATTTTAAAAATGCTTTCATCAGAAGGAACTCTATTGAAGCTCTTCTTGAATCAAACTATATGTCAACACTGCCTCCTGGTGGTAGCTTTCATATTTTGAAAAACTGAAATCCAGCCCCTCCCCCAAGCACATTTATTTCCAGAAATCTTGTTCATTAAAAAACAAAGCTCACTTAATACCTAAGAGTTTATTTATGCTAAATACGTCTCACAAAGTCTTGTGGGGTTTTTTATTATTATTATGGAACCAGAGCCTGAGGGACCTTCAAAATCAAAAGTCCAACTCTTCCTTTTAAGGATAAGATGACTAAGGCAGGATGCCAGGTCAGGAAGAACTCCTTGCTAGTCCAAGGCTGCCAAGAAAGATGGCTTTAGTTTAGCCTCTTGAAGAGAAGGGTGGAACAAGGACTCATGGTTCACCAAACTAAGGAGTCATCCTCAGCCAGGAAATAAAAGTCCTTGGCATTACTTAAAAATCAACAAACTCACTGAATAAACTGTTTTCAGTTTATGAGCTGAGATTTCTTCACACTGTAGCAAAATAACTTTTTGGATAAAACAGCCCAACCAATGCAGACCCAGAATGGACTTGAGAACTGGACTAGAATGGATCAAGAGCTTCAGTTCCCTCTATCTCCAGAGGGGGGCAGCATGTCACCAGCAGGAATGCCTGAGAGCCATGCTGTTGCTTTGAACTTGTGCTATTTCATCAGGCTATTCTAACATTACATGGCAAAAAATATTTGTAGCCTCCTTTTTGTTTTGGTCGAGTTTTCTTTTTACCCCCTAAGATATGTGGATCTTTGAATCACTTCCAGGACAACTCACCCAGCAAGGAAGGCCTTATATGTCTCCAACCAAATCTTCTCCCCCAGCTGTGACCACACTGATGCCTTTGAGAGCTTTACAGACTCCTTCCCCAAATAGCTTCCCATTAGTCAACTGGCATCCCTTGGCCAGTCAGGATCCTCCCACATGCTACTTGCTGGGTCAACAACCCTAAGTCTTAGCCAGCAAAGGAGGAGGAAATCAATTTGAAGAGGAAAAAAAAAAATAGAGAAACCCGTGAACTGTTTCAGAATATGCTTGATGTGTGTTAAACAAAGAACTAGAGATAATAAGGCCCAATATATCTAAACATCACAATGAATGTTTAGTGTGTGAACAACAAAACAAAACAAAATGACTGAGAACAGCCAAATGCTTCTCTCACACTTGGTGGCTGGGAGCTCGGGATCATTGGGCGGGAAACTGGTGGGAGTGAGCTGAGGGCAAGTAACAGCCTGAAGATGCTGCCCGTGTTCAAGCAGCTGGAGTCAGAGAGATGAAAAATCAAGGGGATGGAAAATCAAGGGGATGGAAAGTGAGAGAGACAGATGTCATCATTTGTGCTGCTGTGAGCTGCAGAAATAATGCCAAACAAGTCATGAAGAACAAAACTGTAAAATAAGATTCTCCAAACGCTAGCCAGGACTCCCAGGCTGAGAATTATGTTTTTGCCTGATAAGTCAAAATCTGCTCTCCTGTGAGAGCTCATCCAGAAGATGCTAGACTACTAGGACAAACATGGCTACCCCTGCCCTGACTGTCAGGGGAAAGAGTACACGCTGCTCTCTAAAGTTCTTGGATTGGTTGAGCTATTCTGATGGAAATTATAAATTTTTTCAGCTATTAAAGAAGAAGAGCAATAAGACTGTCTTGGTTGTATTTGATTCTTATTTGAGTTCTACAATGTGTTGTTAAATTTAGTTGATTATGTGCCGTTCAAACACATGACAATTTTATTATTATTATTGTTATTATTATTATTATTTGTTCTATTTTGTTGTCCATGACAGCAGAATGCATTTCAATTCATCGTCCACAAATGGAGCGCAACATTTCAATTTTCTGGCTGTCCACAGGCAAACGTATGATAATTTTAATGTGGCTGTACTGATGTTTAGTTTTAAATTTGTGGATTTCCTATGTGTGTTTTCACATGAAAATGAGTTTTCAAGGGAAACATTTTGTTTATTTTTAATAAAAATGCATTTTCCCGAATACCTAAAATAACTTTAGCAGTCGTAAATTTGCGTACTTACACGCAAACAACAGTTAACGTATCATTTATAAATTGTACAAATGTTTGTCCCTTTAGGCAGGTTCTGTAAGACCTCTACTTGGCCCCATTCTGTGCTTATTTGTTCTAATTTACTACATGGCCTTGAAAGGATAAAGTTGAATATCTTTTAAAATAGTTCAAACTTTTCTCCAATTCCGCCTGGCTATTCTTCCAATTACTTTGACTTAATGAGATTTTACTGTTCTTTGGAAAGGTTAACGTCTCAAACATCTGAACTGGCTTAGTGGAATTCAGCCATTTCTCCAAAATGCTAGTGCAGTGTAGCAGAAAAAGCAATGAATACATTTAAAATCAAGAATTTGGGGCCCAAGTTTTAGTTTGACCCCTTCCTCACTGTGAGAGGTTGGGTAAATCACCTCTGCTTCTCTGGCCCTCACTTTTCTAATCTGTAGGATGACAAACTTCTCATATTTTGCTGAAAAAAAACTCCACAATTTTGTTTCTGCCTTGATGGCATAGATGAATAATGGCCTGATGATTGTCAAGAAATGTTTACCGAGTGCCACTTGGTGGTGTGTTTTCAGTAGACTTAATTGTTCATTAATAATTCCCCTAGGTAAACAGACTGCAGACTAATACAAATAATAGTGTTCAGAGGGCAGGGGAAATGTTAGGCTCAGCCTGGCATTGAAAAATGAAAATGTCAGCCTCCCCAGGTATGTTCCCTAAGGAGATTTAGGTCTGGTTTTTCATAGTATGAACTGTTTCTATATTCAGGGTGAGGAGTTCTTTGTAGGTTTATATAAGCTACAAAGAAGTTCTAGAAACTGTCAAGTGGGTAATTCTTGGTCCTTTGCCTAGAGATGGAGAAAACTGGCTTCTCACATGTGGAGAAGGTGAGTTTTGGAATGAGCAGCCTCGGAATCTTTTCTTCCCATAAAGCTATTCTCAGCAGCTGGATGACTCCCAGATGTGCACCTTCAGCCTGAGCCACTCCCAAGAACATTGGCACATGATGTTGGCTTGGCCTATAGACCCAAGTCAATGGTCCCTTCCCTGGGCCCTGCAGGGAGCCCCAAATCTGGACCAGATCCCATGTGAGTTCTGGTGGTCAGAGTCACCTTCCTCGAAATGTCTGAGCCCTCTCCTGTGTCTGGGCCTGGTCCAGTCAGCGGTGCCATCCAGGAGAGGCACCACAAGCCTAGACTGGACAGCATGAGACCAAGTCCTGGTTTCTTCCTTCTGGGTGCTATTCTCATGTCGCTCACCTCCACCTCACTCCTAGAGTAACCTAGTTCCCCCAAGAAGCCCTGGGATTTCTGTGTACCCTGGTTCTAGGACTCTTCCTGGTAATAGGATGACTCCCACTGACAGGCCAGTGTTTCTGTCCCAAGATGGGGTGAGAATGGGCTGCCTCGTGTGGTGCTGACGCTCTTATTTGGAGTGACTTACATCAGACACGGGACAAATTCAGGGGTCTGGGACACAAGAGTTCCTTGCTGTGCCTTGCCCTGAGCATTGTATGGTAGGGGAGTGGCCTGCCTTCTTCCTTTGGGCACTGCCACTACCTTCCTGTTCCCATCATCACTGCCACCCAGGGTGGTCATCACACCCCTTCACAGGCTCCACTTCACATGTCAGGCCATCCTCTGTGGAGGGCTGTGCCTCATCCTTTGGGGTTTCAATGTCAAAAGACTACTCCTGTCAATGTCCCTGGCTCTTCTGGATGTAGTGCCGCTGTGGTCTCCCAGATGGGTAATAAACCACAGGAGATGAGGGATGGATGTTCCTTGAGTGAATGGTACCTCTCTCCTAGCTCCAGCCAGGGCTTCTCTCTCCCAGTGGGAGGTAAGTGGCAGGCAAGGGCGTGGTCGACATCCAAGGAGGTCCCATTGCTGCAATGGCCTAAAGAACCCCAAGAAAGCCTAGAAAATGTGCTCCCCTGTATTTACACTATGAAATTCAATAAATTTAACAGAAATGAATAGTAAAATTAATTACTGGCTTGTACCCATGGTAAGATGTGCACTTATGGTCGTGATCAACAAAGCACAGGAACCACCTGTGATGGAGCCACCAGATGCCAGCAGGCAGCAGTGGCTCCGTGGGTGATGCGGTATCATTGTCATAATGTAACCAGCATTAAACAGATGGTACCAGGGAGGTGCAGAAGCAAGATCTATATTGTTTCCACACAAACACCTTCCAAAGAACCATGGCATTGTGGA